GGTGAATTAATAAGTATTTAACATTTTAATCAATGTAACCCACCTAAACCAAAGCTCTTTGAAATACTCAATAATTTTTCAAGTGTAAAAGGGTCTTAAGAACAAAAAGGTTGAGAACCCCAGCCAAGGATTGCCACAAACTGTCCTGATGCAGGTAGGCCACAAGGTGGCAGCATGCACCCTGATAATCCCAGAGCCGCCTCCGTCCTACCTGACTCTTCCCCATCTCCCTGTCTCCATCACACCTTCCACTTTTTCTCCTCTGCGTTCTCCCAAGCTGTACAACTTCCTAATTATAGGAAATAACAATCTTCTAAGCATAAGTTCCATCAAAACCAAGTCAGTCACATATTAACCTGCAGACGTTTATCAGATGTCTGTCATACACAAAGTTTATCATCCAGGGCTGAGTAAACAGAAGAAACCCCACTCTCAGGGAGTTACTAATGAGACTGACCCAAGGCCAGCAATTAAAATGCCAACACGGTAATGTATGTGAAAGCCCTTCGTTTTCTGTAAAGGGCTGTATACTTCAAAGGGATTCCTGAGAGGCAGAGGAAACCAACAGCCGATACTGAGATACTCACCAGAAATTTCTGGAAGGACAACAGCTGGGTTCTCCAAGACACAGAAGAGAAGGACCAGGAAACAGAAGCCGGAAACAGAAAAAGGAACATCAGATTCTTTTCATCTGGAAAGTCAGGTTTCCCAGAAATCACAAGGGTCATGAGAAGACAGCCGGGGTGGAGTAAGGGGCAGGTTTCAGACTTGGGGACGCTGCAGGTTGGGGATCTAAGAAGCCAGGTCACTGGAGGGGCCTCGCTGTGGGTGTCAGAGCAGGGGACGAGGCTGCTGTGAGCAGGGTGCCTTGGGGCCTCAGGACAGCCCACTGGTGATGCCCACGAGGATGCAAGGGGTCAGTCAGGGCTCGGTTCGGACTGAGCCCAAAGGTGCAGGACAGTGGTCTGACAGCACCTGTGAATAACTTCTCTGAGACACTCTCATGCACCAGAGACTCAGAGTGAGCAATGGGGTGACAGGGGATGTCAGCGGGCCTGTGGTCAGGGGTCTGAATCCAGAAATCTGCATGGAAGGACAAGTGGGAGGCCTGAGCCAGGACGGGGGTGAGGAGGAAGGGAGGTGTTTTGGGAAGAGTCAGTAGGTTGTGCAGCCTGGAAGGGGCTGGGCCCCGGGCTCCAGCTGCCATGTGGGGAGGGGACACCTGACTTCCCCTGCCGGGGGAGCAGCAGGTAAACCACGAGCCCACCAAGATTCCATTAAAACCTGCAGTAAGAGCTTGACAGGACCTAAAGGCCAGTTGACTGTACCTCCTCACTCAATGGATAAGAAAACGGAAGCCCGGACACACAAAGAACTTCTAAAGCCCACCCAGCAAGTCTGGCAGAGCTGGGACTAGAACCCAGCTCTCAGGCCCTCTGTCCACTGTAAGCTCCCAACCAGCGTCTCTCCCATAGGCTAAAGGATTCAGAGCCTGGGGAAGCCCCACGGTGTGCCTGGTGTTACCCCCTGTTATAACACCTGGTATAATGTGGACACCTTAGAGGAGGCAAACCTTCTTGAAGGACAACATCAAGGGAAGGAAGGGGCACAATGCCTGGGCTGGGACTACAGGAGCTCTGCCTGCTCACCTGCATGCCGGTTTGTTTTTAACACAGCAAAGAAAACCATGCTCTTTTCTCCCAACGGCAGCCTGGAGAGCACAGGTGGCAAACACAAGGCCCGCAGACCGAATCCGGCCCTCCACCGTGTTTAATCCGGCCCAGCACTTTGTTTCCACCCAGCGGCAGCACCAAGCTCTCTTAACTATTAAGGAGTAATTACACTTATGCAGTCCTAAAATTACATTCGGCCCTTTGAAGGCAACCAAGAGGCTGATGTGGCCCCCGGTGAAAATGAGTTTGACACCCCTGCTCTAGAGTTACTGTCCAGAACCAGGAATATTGCCCCAATGTATGCCCTAGCAGGAGGCTCTGAGTTTCCCCAAGGAGAAAACCCCACCTCCTACAACCCCTCATTCCAAGCTCTGGCCTTGGGCAGCAGTGAGAAAGCTGGGCGTGGGTAGGACACCTCTTGATGGAGCCAAGAGTAGCCTGCCTGGGACAGGACCTCCACGGCTCAGCCCTGGCACCCCCAAGTCTGGGCTAATCTGGAACCATGGGACCCGGTGTGGCCTTTGGACACAAGGGAGCCCACTGCCTATAGAGGGGGACCCCGTCTGTTTGAAAGCCCTGTGCAGCTGCTCCCGCCCACCAGCTGCTGCTCCTCTTATCCCGGCACCTCGCCGTCATTTCCCTTTCATCCTGAATTAACACCAGAGGGTCACAGCCGATGGCCCTGCAGAAAGTCACAGGGCCACAGACCAGTGTTCTCTTCATGCTCACTCACGTCTCCATGTAGTCGTGCTCTCCTGCATTTGTTCGTTCACCTAGTTCATCCAGTGCCCACCAAGCCAGGCCCGGTCCTACGAGTGCAGAGGTGAGTCAGGCAGCAGGGCGGGGGGGAAGGGACCTCCGGGGCAGAGCAGAGGTTGCACACCGCCTGCCTGAAGTCACGCTTTGTTCGCCATACACCATGCTTCATTGTTAATATCTTTATTTTCATGTAAAACCAGTTGACAAATCTTATAAGCAAATTTTCACATAAAATTCAGATTTCCTGGACCTTCGGTAGGACCAGCAACAGGTAGTCCACTCTCCCACATGGCCACTGTGGCCTGAGGCTGTGGACCACTGTCCCTTCAAGTTAGGAAGGCTCCCACTCACCACAGTCTCGGCCACTCCCTAGCGTCCCCAGCCCTGAGGCCCCACGTGAATTTCCACGGTTGTCCTGTTGGTGGTGCTGTTGACGTTCTCAGGCCCAGCCAGCCTCACCAGTTTACTAGGTACCTTGTTCCAGCAAGTTGTCTGGGATCCTTGACCCAGAGTGAAACGGGCTTTAACAGAGACAGCAGAGGGCGCTGTGGGCCCGCGGAGGAGAGGCGCCCAGGTACCGCCCGACGGCCAGAAACAGCAGAGATTTCCTTACAGCCTGGAGAGAGAGGGCTCCTTGCTGTATCGTGTGCTTCCTCCATCAGCTCAAACAATGGAGGGCGACCCCATGAGGGAACGCACCTGAAGTTTCCATTCACGTACTCCTGGGCCGGACCTGCACCGCTCATCCGTTCATAGAAGATTTACTCTTTCATTCAAGCATGCATTCATTAAGCGTTGATTTAAATATTTTTGTACACTTGGCACTGCACTAGGCCCTGTCCCTAGCTCCCAAGGGTTTCAATGTGATTAGGGACTCAGGATATGAGATTATGCCTCCCTCATGTATTGCAACTCACTCACCCAGTTCCCCAGCATCAGGCACTAGTGTCTGGTGCTCAACCAATACTGTTGGGAATGAATGAAAAAATAAACAATAATACCTCTCATTAGTGAGCTCTTCCACCTTTACTGTACTGTTTCCATTCTCAAGGTAGGTCCTGTGATTATCCCTTTTTACTGATCAAGAAAATGCAGCTCAGAGAGGTTAAGTAAATTGCCTAATGTCACACAGCCAGTCTGAACTCTAAACAACTATTCCATGTGTCATGTCAGCAGTGTAAGACAGAAGGTGCTCAGGGCCAAGGGGTAGCCCACAGGCTGCCTCGGGCTTTCGCGGGGCAGGGCTATCAGGAGGGGCCGGGGCAGTGAGAGAAGGCTTCCTGACAACTGGACAAAGGGGCTGGTAGAACCGGGAGAGAACACCTTCCCTGATGGAAGGGGGGAGGCTGGGGGAAGCAAGGGCTGGGGAAGGTCCCTATAGTAGGTCCTCCAGACACACTTCCTGGGCTGAGGGGTGGGGGTGCCAGTAAGGACACGGTCCTCCAGCAAACGTGAGGTCTCCCTGTGCCAGCCCTGGAGCACATGAACGCGAACACGAACTTTGCCTGAGGATCCATGGCAACGATCAGGCAGAGGCAAAATATGTAAATAACTTCACTCCAGAAAAGGGAGTGTTGAGAGCCAGAAGTGATGTGGGAGTAAATGTCCAGGGAAAGAGACTATTTCCTATTGGGAAAAACAAAGCAGGCTCCCTGGACAGGGTAGCATTGGACCGAGCCCTGTGGGGTGGGTAGGACTGCACCCCAACATGTGGGAGGGGCACACCTGGGCCAAAAGCACCAAAGAAAAGCCTGGAGGTGCTCAGTGGGCCCCATGGGCTCCAGGGGAGGGGGCAGGAAGCTGATCAGGCCAGGCAGGGCCGCTGTGGACACTTCGTGTGCCGTGCTGAGATAGAGCCACAGGAGGTTCGCAGCCTTGCAGTGGGAGGGGCAGGTCTTGCCCAAGAAGCTACACAAAAACACTTGTCTTTATGTTATAAGCTCCTTAAGGGTGTGGTTCCCACTAGCAGAATTTAGAAGAGCTAACACTGACAACCTCTGGAAACACTTAAGCCCCAAGGGTCTCTCCTTCAGGCTACAAGAGGGAGGGGTGATCCAATCACCCTTAGCCAAGAACCAGGATGCCAAAGCCTAGTTCCTGCTATGTCACCAACCAGCTATGTGACCTTGTCATACAAGGGGGTTGACCACCTTACCCCCCACCCCACCCCCACCCTTCCAACCCAGGTTCACCCCCTGTGAATCCAAAAACCCCACTCCAACCCCTCGCCCTCCACAGAGCACTTAACACAGAGCCAGGAAGGGGAAGGCTCAGCCATCTGTGCTGGGCTGCTCACTGGGGTAGGCTGAGTGGGTCCGCCCACCGCCCCCAGGGGTCCCCAGCCCCCCACCAGCCACTGGCTGTCACAGGGAAGGTACAAACTCAAGGAGGGGAGAGGGGAGGGAGGGATGCCAGAGGAGAGGCAGCTTGCTCAGTGAGGACAGGAGGGTGGGGTGGAGGAGAAGTGAGCTAAGCCAGCAACTTCCTCCCCAACCAGCTCCTGACCCGGGACTGGGAATTTCACAAAAAGGCAAAAGGATCTATGTGAACATTTCCTGTTCCGCCCCAGCCCCCTTCCTGGCAGCCCAGCTCCAAGTTACCACACTGATCGCCTGTGAAGCAATCTTCCCACTAGAGGGCTGAGTGTCCCCGCCAGGGGAGGCCTATAAATGCTGGTCCCACAGGACACTGTCAAACTTCTCTCTCTGACTCCTCAGCGTTGGTAAGTGAGCTGCCAGCCTCCCTGGCAGGAGCCTGCCTGCTGAGCCTTCCTTTTCACCTTCTACCAGTCTTCCTTTCAAACCCTCCTCCTGGAAGCCCTCCTTGACTAATTCGCTCGCTTTGAAGCTCCCTTCACGTTTTGTTAGGTCCTGTTCTGCTGAAGCCTCCTGTTCCCACGTGCTCTGCTTTCTGACATTCTCCAGATATTCTAAAAATCGTTTTTCCCACATGTGGGGCAGGGTCATCTCCCAGCTCAATAAAAATCGCGGTCATTTTATCATTTCCCCCTTCATTTCTGTGAGTAGCCAGTAGGAGGTGACGAGGAAGGGTGACAGCGTTTTTTTTTTCCTAAGCACCCTTTGCTTCTCCTCTGCACAGAGCACAGGAACACAGGGGACAAAATGCCGTCACTGATGGAATGCAGCATCAACAACGTCATCAAAATTTTCCACCAGTACTCCAGGCACGAGGATCACCCTGACAGGCTGAGCCAGAGTGAATTCAAAGAGCTGGTGCAAAAAGAGCTACCCACCTTCCTCAAGGTAGGGCTGGACTCCCGGCGGCCTGACCCGGCCTGGCAAGGGCCTGGGCTAAGGATGGAGGGTGGGTGCGGTCTGCAGCGGCCAGCGGGAAAGTGTGAGCCTTCAGCCCAGCCGGCAGCAGCAGCCCGGCACTACGGGCGCTCCAGCCGAGATGGCACAGGCAGAGCCAAGAGAGAGGGAGTGACCCCGGGCTGTGTGCCAGCCCTGCCCCGGGCAGGGGCCTGTGGTGGTGAACAGGGACCTGAGTCCCAACGGGAGCGACACACAGTAAAGGTGCTGACTGATGAAGGGCACAGGTAAATCCAGTGTCAATTTGAGCCTGAGAGAGAGTGAGAGATGCTGTAGGTGAGTGGGGCTGGGCAGGCAAGCACCTGAGGACGAAGGAGCCTTGGCAGAAGCCGAGTGGACCGGCGGGGCTCAGCTGCGGTGAGAGGAGGCCTGAGGGTGCTGTCCGAGGGAAGGGTCTCTGGCAGGAAACGGACAGACGGCAGGTGGGGGACGCTGCCCCGCCTGGACGTGCACGCCTCCCAGGGACGCGCCTGCACCTGCCCATCCGAAAAGGGCTCAGCAGTTCTAAGAAAAAAGGGATTTGTTCCACCAGATATTTTCGGTTTCTTCACAAATTTGAGGGCTTTGGGGGAACAGAGGCCTAAGAAGGTGGCTTTGGGGGAACAGAGGACTAAGAAGGTGGCTCCACGCCTGGGCGGGCGCCCCGGGGGAGGGGGCCACCCTTCCCTGGAGCCGCCCCCACCTCGGTGGGGTGGGGAGTTGCAGCAGCAGGAGATATCAGGGATGCTGACAGCCCTCCACTGGCCGGACCTCAGCAAGCAGGACGCTGGGTCAGGGTCCACAAGGGAGGGTAGTGCTGGCCAGGCTTCCTGTGTGGGAAGCCTGAGCCTGTCCCATCCCCCGCCCCACCCCCTCTGCCAGAAGCAGAGTGACAGGCCAGGGGGGAAAGCTGGGACCTGGTCAGTGGGCTACCCAGGAGTGACAGCTGGTCTTCCCCAGGGCGACAGCAAAGTGCAGCCAAAATAGATGGTGCGGAAGCGCAGTGTGGGGGAGGGCCTGGGAGAGGAGCTGGGCACCCACAGGCTCCAGAGGGGACTTAGCCGAGTGCCCCAGCCAGCAGGTGGCTCTGCTGGAACCTGCCCAAACTCACTGCCCTCCGTCCCTGCACAAGATCCCGAGGGCCCTCTTTTCCTCGGTGCCTCCCGTTACACAGGTTGAATGAGCATCACTAACTTGTCACCTTGTAACCGTGAGAGGGAAGGAAGAGGCGAGGAAAGGAGGGGCGCAGTGGGCAGGAGCAGAGGGGTGGGACAAGACCGCTCTGAGGCCGACCCGAGTGGCGTGCGCAGTCATTGGAAAGTGAATGGCGCCCCGTCGACGGTTGTTTTCAATTTTGGGATTGAGGCCCAGAAGCCATCGGGTCCTTTGCTGTGCTACCCATCCCCAGCCCTGACCAGCCTTTCTGTCTCTCAACCTACAGAAGGAGAATAGGGATGAGGAGGCCATAAAAGAGATCTTGGAGGACCTGGACACAAGTGGAGATAAGCAGCTGAGCTTCGAGGAGTTCGCCATGCTGGTGGCCAAGCTGACGCAAGCAGCCCACGAGGAAATGCACAAGGGTGGCCACATAGGGGATCACCACCAACATGAGGGAAGGCTTCGGGAAGAGCCAGGGCTCCTGCCAAAGCCAGGGTGGCCACAGCCACTAATCAGGAGGCCAGGCCACCCCGTCCCTGAACGAGGGCACCGGGGCTGTGCGCCACGCCGCCTCAGTGGCAGGGCTGGGGGCTGGGATGAAATAAAGTGTTCCTTCCTCCAAGCCAGCGCTCTGCGTGCTCCTTCCACCCCCGACCTGGCCCTCCCGGGGTCTGGGTCAGACCCCACGCCCTTTAACTGGGGCTGCGCCCCTTTGTTCGTAGAAACAAGATGAGAAGCCTCAGTGATGCAGTTCTGTCCTGAGCCCCTTGGGCTCACCTCCCGACCGTTGCCTTGCTCCAACCTCAGGCCCCACTGCTCAGGTCCCGGCCATGCCAGCCCAGCTCAGGACTCCCCTGTCCAGCCTGTCACATTGGCCCTTGTCACCACAGAAAGTAAAAAGGGGCGTATCCCACCCTCTCGACATGCCAGCCACCACCCCACCACGACCCCCTCTTCACCCAAGGCTGTTCACACAGCCATCTCTCTCCAAATAGAGCCTGATTCCTCTGGAGCATCTCAGACAGTGTCTGAGGGGGGATACTGGAGCTCGGGCCTTGAAAACAAGGACAGATGGGGTGTGTTTATCCACAAATGAGGTTCTGAATCCACGGGAGCAGCTGGTGTCTCCTAAATGAGGCATCTCTCCTGCTGCCCTTGGATGCTTGTGCGCACGGATGAAACTCAGGGAGTCCAGCCCATGCCCACCAGCCCATGAGGAGGTTGGACTCTGGGTCCAGAGAGCCTCCCAGGCCTGAAGATTCTGGCTCTGAGTCTGAGGGCAAGCTGACCTCACTGAGGTGACCAAGGTGCCTTCAGGAGGTGACCGCTCAGGCCAGCAGGGGCACCTGCTTCTCTCGGCTAACCTGTTGTTGGGCCTGGCTCCCAGCTTCTGCCCTCCAGCCGTCTCCAGACCCCACCACCCACTGCAGAGACATCCCAGAGACTTCTCTGCCCTCTCTTTCTGCCCCCTGTCCTGAGAGCATCACCAGGCTGGGACAGGCCTTCCAAAGACCACGGTCCAAATCAAGGGTGCTGTCCCTGCCCTGTCCTTCCACAGAGAAAAGACCAACAGAATTAGGATTTGGAGGAGCTGGAGAAAGGCTGACAATCCTCTATCCCCCACGTTACCAGTGACTAAATAAAGCGCGACACAGAGTGGGGAAGGGACCAGCCCAAAGTCCTGCAGTGGCACAGTTGGCCAAGGGCCTCAGAACCAGCTGGCTTTGGCCGCTGCACCTCCCAGCCGCCCCCCCAGCCGGCAGCTGAGGGTGAGGAAGGGAGCTGAGGAGCAAGAAAGACTGCAGCTTTCTGCTCTCCCGCACAGCCCGGCTGCAGCAGACCAGGCTACCCTGCTCTCACGGCCCTGGGCCTCTGCTGTGGGCGCACAATTAGGAGGGCTCCCACTGCAGAGCAGGGGACATCTCCAGAAACTTCTCCAGGCTGTGAGCTTGGGCAAGAGAGTTTAGGATTCCCCAGTTCCTTCCCTGCCTAACCTGGGGACCAGACATCTGGCCGCACTCATGTCCGACAGCCCTGCTCAACTCCTCTCAGGTCCCGTAGGGGCCGCCCCTTCTGAGGGCAGCTCTGGAGGGAAAGAGAACCCACTGGGAGTTGGGAGGCCTGGGCTGGGCTCTGTCGGTGGCTTGGCCAGGTTTCCGTGCTTGGGGTAAAGTGGCGCAGGGTCCGGGGCAGGAGAGGAGAGAAGAGGGGTGGGAAAGGGGGCAGGGGGAGAGAGGGGAGGGGAATGTGCCACCGTTACATTTGTGACTCTGCCTCCCACTGGTCTGTGAGCTCCCGTTGTTGGTGCCGTCTGCCTCGTTCTCTGCTTGACTCCCAGCACCTAGAGCAGTGGCTGACGCATAGTAGGTTCCAACCTACTATTGGCTGTCCGGGTGTTGTCGAATTCCTCGCATGTCCCATGCTCTCTTCTCAGGGACAGGTGTGGAGAAAGGAGGGTGGGAATGAATTCAGCAGATGGAAAGCGTCTGGGTATCATGGAATGTCAAACTGGCAGGTAGGGGGGCAGCAAGGTGATGGAGCCTGAAGCCCCCTCCCCAGGTTTTTTCAGTCATGCCAACCTCTACCTGTTGTACCCTAGAAGCTGCCATTTAAATAAAGAGATTTGTCTTGAAAAAAACATTTGAACATTGTTGATTTAACCCAGCCTGCCTTAGCCCCACACTTGAGTGATTCTCCCCAACATCCATGCCCAGTGGTAGCCAGGGCCCTACCTGCACCCCTCTGGGAAAGGGAGCTTGCTCCTTTGTCACTGGCACTTAGAAAGCCTTCCAGTTCGTGGACCCAGAATCTGTCTCCTCGGGCCTGTGGGGCATTAACGCTAGTTTCCCTCCACATCCATGGGGACACAGAAAAACCTAACCCTTTTCATGCATGCAGCCACCCACCTACTTCTTCAAAACATTTCCCTGAATGGCATCCAGCCTTCCTCTGGCCTCTGAACCTTTGCACCAAGAATGTCCTCCCCATCCTGGCGTCTTGGTGTCACCACCTCCTCTGCCAGGCCCACCGAACTCTTGGATACTTCTCCCTTTGCACTTCCAATGTGGGATTGGAAACCCTTATCAACAAGTCTGGCATGGCCCCGAAGGCAGGGACTGTGGCTGATTCGCCACATGTCCCCTGGTGCCAGCAGGGAGCAAGCTGTCAGTGAGGCTTATGGAAAAGTAAGTGAAGTTAGAGTGGTCCTAGGGCCTGATGGGCTGGAGAGTGAGATGGGGACAGCTGTGGGCATCAGGGACACGTCCACGTGCAACCTACACGCTGGGAGACGGTGGAACAGCAGGGTGGCAGGGGACAGAGCTTCTGGACACCAAGCACTCTTCCTTCGCCTTACTGCTCTGCTAGCTCGTCCTGAGAGTAGGAGATTGCTCTAGACCCAGGGGAGGGCCTGACAGCCAGGCACTTTACAGAGCCCTGTGGAATTTTCTTTAAACATATTTAAAAGAGCTGGTCAAGATGAGTTAGCCCCTTCCACTCCAGAAAACCCCTGATTCTGTTGAGTAGAGGAGAGCTGGCTTCTTCCCTCTGAGAGGGAACGAGGGTGTCAATGTCAACGTTAAGATTCCACCCCAAGTAAGAATTGGTGACTACTTGTATGATTAATGTGTCTTTTTGGAAAACAAGAACTTCGGGGTTTCCCTGACATCACAGTCACTGAAGAACAGCGAACCTGTCATCAAAGGTCACCTGCTGTCCTTAGCTGTGGAGCCTGAACTTCTGGGTGGCTGTCAAGAGGATAAGGAAGCAGCAGTCTCAGACTAAGCTGCCAGACCCTGCCCAGATACTTAACAATACTCTGACTGTGCTCCAGGGCCTGGGTGATGCGAGATGCTCCCGGAACCAGGGGTGGAGGTGAGTGATCACATCAGTCACTTGTCAGTCCACTCAGCAGACGCTCATCGCGGACTCACTGTATGTCAGACACCATAACGCTCTGAGGGGCCCCCAGGAAAAGGAAGGCTTCACCCTGTCATTAAGGCACTCCCAGGACTGCAGGGCAGGCAAGACAGCTCCTCAAATAATTCGAATACGGAAAATGCTGGGCCAGCAAGGTGAAAAGTTCTGGGAGGCTTTGAGGCGGGAAGGCTGACCGTCAGCCAGGCTGTCACCATGGCAGGCAAGGATTACAGTGGCATCAAGCCTGGCGGTGGCAGGCGTCCCAGAAGAAACATGCAGATGCCTGAGACATAGGAGAACATGCGTGCAAAGGCCTGGACGCGGGTGCAGGTGGGGTCTGGGCGGCACTGAGGAGCCCCTGAGCCCCTGGGCTCAAGGTGGGGAGGGAGGGAGAGAGGAGAGCGGGGCCGACGCTGGGCCACAGCGCTCACACTTTCAGGGGGAGAATGGAGGGCAGGAGCAGTGAAGGTTTTAGGGAAGGAATGATATCATCATAATTGTGTTTTAAGAAATTGTCCCTGTGGGATGTGGATTTGGCATGGGAATACGACCAGCGGCACAAGGCCCAGGAGAGGCTGCCGCCATTGTCAAGGTCGCTTCTCCGAGGACATGAATTCAGCCAGGATCTCAAGTGCCAGGCCCCATCTCCCTGGGCAGGCATGCCCTGCAGTCCCTAGAGCAGGGGTGTCAGACTTATTTTCACCGGGGGCCACATCAGCCTCGAGGTTGCCATCGAAGGGCCAAATGTAATTTCAAATCCTTAGCAGTTAAGGAGTAGTTACATGAATATAGCCTAAAATTATTTCGGCCCTTGGAAGGCAACCGTGAGGCTGATGTGGCCCCTGGTGAAAATGAGTTTGACACCCCTGCCCTAGAGGATAAAGAGAATAATTTTGCGCTGTTCCCCAAGATTTGCTTCAGCTTTCGCCAGCCCGGTGAGGTGGTGAGGCAATCTTGCACAACCCTGACACCAGCACTGCTCTGAAATAAACTCCAGATCCCCGCCTCAGTGCCCTGCCCGCCTCCCAGCAGTTGCTGAAAACATACATTTTAGAAAGCCCTGTGTCATGGGTTTTGACATTCCAATGACCAAAGTGACAACAGGACTGAAACAACTGGTTGCTCAAGTCCTGTTGCCTGAGGTGAGGAGCGAAGAGGAGGTGGCGGCAGAGGCAGGTGCAGGGGGGACGCGAGAGTGTGACATGCAGCTGGGGGCAGCCCCGGCTGGCTGGAGTCTCTTCCCTCCCTCGCCCCTCCCCGCCTCTCCCCTTCCTTCCTTCCTTCCTTCCTTCCTTCCTTCGCGCCTGCCCCTCTCCTCTCTCTCCACTCTCCTGTCAGTCGCTCCCTCCCTGGCTGCTCCCTGTCCTCCTGGGGTCTTGTCAGTGAGCGCAGTCCCAAGTAACCGGGCTTCCGGGAGGGGAATGCCTTAGGAAGTAACTCGGGGTCACGCCTAACCAAGAGTGACTCCAAAGGAAGATGCTCAGCTTGCGAGGTGCCTGTAAGTAATGGAAGGAACAATCACAAGGGAAAACAGTGGAAGGGCTGAGGATACTAAAGAGGATCAGGGGCCAGGACAAGTGCCTTCAAATCCTGCTGAAGTCTGGGCTCCACGGCAAGGCCTCCCAAACCCATGCGCCGCCCTCCGAGTCCTCCTCGCTCCCCTCCGCCACCACAAGCGTCTCACTAGCATTTTCTGTCTGCTGC